TATATATATATATATATATATATTTACACACACACACATATGTAAATATATGTAAAGGTTTGTTAAAAGCACTTAATTAATTACATTTTCCCATTTTCCGAGACCTAATCTAAAGTGAGAACAATTTATGTTTAATAAGTTAAGAAAGCCTTATCTAACTCATTAAATATAAGCTAATTAAACAAAAAGAATTAAGTTAATTGCAGTGACAATGAATGAAGAACTCACTATTTGTATAGAGTCTATTAATGTATTAACTATAGTTTATAAACTATGAATTAACTATAAACTAATTGTTTGCAAATTATTTGTAAGTACTTTATTAGTGTATACTTATTATAAAGTGTTACCAAATTAGCATTCATTCATATTTTAGTGTGTCCAAAATGCCAGTGTATGTTCAAAGCTCATTCTAGAGCAGCCGTGATAATAAAACCTCTGTCTTTAATCTGCAGGACTATCAAGAGGCCACGCATCTGGAGCAGTTTGTGACACGTTTCCTGTTGAAGGAGACCACCAGTCAGCTGCGGTCTCTCCAGAGCTCTCTGGAGTGTGCCATGGAGACCACAGCCGAACAGACCCGGCAGGAGAGGCAAGCCACCCAGATTTTGTTAAACATACAGTTTCTACTGTACATGTGGAGTGAGCAGAAGATGAGTGGATATTTTCAATTCATTGTCTTTGGCTGAACGTCTGGCTCTTTCAGGGGATTGTCTGCGACGGCAGAACAGAACAAGGGTGATATTATCATAACATTGAGATATGTTCGACTTTATGCAAATCACATATTACAGTATTGAATTCAGATTTTAAATGCTGTTTGGGTGCTTTCATTGTGGCTAGACTGTGACACAGCCATCCTTGGTATTGAATATCTAGAGCATCAGTGGCATTGACTGTTAATAGACCAGGTAACCAGCAGAACATTGACCCAGGCCTTTGTTTTTGTGCAGAAAGGGGACGGATGCCAGTTTAAACCATCACAGAATCAACAGAACGTGTGTGCGCGTGCATGTGTGTTGTGCTTGATTAGCAGCTCATTTTGAGCTCACAGCGTCTCTGACTCACTGGGTTTGTGTGATGAGGAGGGTCTGCTGCATGGCCCATCGTGGGGGTCAGCAGCTCCTTATAGAGCGTAGAATTTAGAATGCAAAATGAGCTGTTTTGTTCCAGCTCCTGGATGATTGCATGCTAGAGAGAGCTGCATGCCTGAGACTGTATATGCACGTGTGTGTGTGTGTGTGTGTGTCACAATGTGCCCAGTACCTCTCCTCCCTCTCAGTGTGCAGCAGCTGTGCTGCTCCGCTCACCTTATGATCTCAAGAAAATTAGCAGTAGCAGCTGGCCTAAAGAAATGAAGGATGCTGAGGTTGGGTTTTAAAAGGAAGTGTTTCCTTTTCTTTTTTTGTCTGTTCTTAAAAACACTCTGGCTCTGATATAGCCAGTTGCATCCTAATTAATTGGTCAATTCAAATGACCTCATTATCGCCTCTGCAGGTGATACAGTGTGTCTAACTTAATAACTGTGCACCACTGAAATATACAGCATTCTATAATCTGTTATTTAAAAAAAAAAAAATTTTAATTGTTCTTCATGGTACTTAATACAGTCTGAGGATATGCAACTCTGAAATCTGTCCTACTCTTTATAAAACTTAAAGGGACTGTTCCCCCCAAAATTTTGTTGAACATAAAAGAATATAATTTGAAGAATGTTGGTAACCAAACAGTTACTGATAGCCATTGACTTCCATAGTATGGAAAAAAATACTATGGAAGTCAATGGATACCAGCAACTGTTTGGTTACCAACATTCTTCATATTATCTTTTTTTTTTTAAATGTTCATCAGAAGAATGAAATTCATACGGGTTTGGAACAACTTGAGGGTGAGTAAATGATGACAGAGTTTTCAGTTGTAGGTGAACTATCACTTTAAGTTTGTTACATTAAGTATTATCTTTCTTCTTTTCAGAGGTGAACTCTATCATGGTATTTATTTATTTTTAATAGGACTGTCATAAAATATAGTTAAATATAGGTTATGATATAGAAATTTACAATAAATTCCCATGTGTTAACATTAGTTAAATATATTAGATAACTTGAATGAATAAAGAACAATACTTCTATTGCATTTATTAATCCTAGTATTATTTTTAAAATCAAAAGTTCTATCTGTTAGCATTAGTTAATGCACTGTAAACTAACATGAACAAACAACAATTTTATTTTACTAATTTTTTTATTTTACTTTATTTTGTTAACTAACATTTACAAAGCTTAATAAATGCTGAAACATTGTTAATAAATTATTACTCATTGTTAATGTTAGATAATGCATTAATTAATGTTAATAAAAGAGACCTTATTGAAAAGTGGGTAACACTTTACTTGAAGGGGTGTGCATAAGACTGACATGACACCTTCATAATCATGACATGACACATGTCATGAATATGAAGGAGGTTTTATGCATGTTTATGACAACTGTCATTAAGTGTCATTCGCTCAGTTATGTCATTTTTAATGCAAATATGACATTATTTGACCTAACCCTAACCTAACCCTACACCTACCCATAGCCCATAACAAAGACATCTCAAACAATGTCATCTTTGCATTAAAAATTACATAACTGAGCAAATGACACTTAATGACAGTTGTCATAAACATGCATAAAAAACCTTCATATTCATGACATGTGTCATGTCATGATTATGTAGGTGTCTTGTCAGTCTTATGCACACCCCTTCAAGTAAAGTGTAACCGAAAAGTGTTACCAAAATAACTTCATAGTTTTTTACATACATTTACCAAATTAAATGTACTTGTTTAATGCTAAATCATCACATTAATTCATGTTTAATCAGAAAATTAGGAGATTAATCATGATTTTGACAGCCATAGTTTTTAGTACAAATTTAGTACAAAGGCATTTTCAATTATTTCACGTTGGAAATATCTCAGTGGCATTGGCTTTGGACTGATCTCTCCATCTCTCAGTCCTCACAAGTCGTTTTCAGTCAGTCTATCACAGATCTTGACGCTGCTAATACAGCTGTACCAAGTCTGCAGCCTCACTCACAATCCCATGAGCACACTCTAAATATCTCCACTTCTGCCATGCCAAGTCCCCTCTGACCTTTATCTCGGTTGGATGATTTTTTACAGAGCACATATTTACACAGTTAAAGGGATAGTTCAGGCAGAATGTTCATGCTGCTCTGTTAAATACAGTGAAAATGACCAGGACCTGTCAAGATCCAAAAAGGCACTCTTTAAAAAAAAAAAAAAGCATACACATTTATACTGTTAACTGAATGTTATGTTTTCAGACACTTAATTGCATGTTATTTGTTATATAAAATGCAATCAGCTGAAATTTAGAGTACCTCTTTATCTCTAATTTCATAATTATTTCTATCGTTATTGAAATACGGTTAAAGTGCACTGACAAGCATTTATGGTAAACTAAAATATACTTTAATGTAATTTCTATTGAAACCATGTCATGTATTAAATATATTTGTAATGACATGTGATATTGAATAACACACTATTAATCAAGTGACAAAAGATTAAAACATAATGATTTAAAATGTACTTTACAGTAAAACCTTTCTTTTGACATTATTACAAAATGCACCTTTTATCTTTTATCTGTTAAGAAACATTCATGAAAGTATTCATGAAGTGTACACTTAAGTGGCCTTTTATTTCATTTATATGTTATTATATGCAATTACAGTTTAAGAGATATACTTTTAACATTTAAAGTACACTACAAGTGCACATGCAATACAATTAAGCATACTTTTCACAAGTGAAGAGCAGTCAATGTTCATCATTTACATTCAGAAAAATGGAAGTGAGAAGCGTTAACTTTCTCCTTTTATATTCCATGAAAGAATAAAATCATAGTTCATAGTAATCATACTTGAACCATCCCTTTAAGGAGAGTTTTCATCATTTTTTTCAAGCACAGACCTGTGCATGTCTTCACATGGCTACACACGTGTAACCTCTTATATCACCATGCTTTTGTGTCACAGTTGACAGTGTGGAGTTTCATAACATTAGTGTTTTTTAGAAAGCGTATAGACATTTTGAGCCTAAAGGCTTTGAGATGGCGAGGCCTGGCGTTATATGGCCAGCTCATTTTGTGCTGATTGATTCCCACTGCGTTAGATGTGCTGAATGTGGCTGGTGGCCAGAACAAATTGAAATAGCGTGGTCAATTCTCTATTCTGTCTGAAGCGTCGAGTCAGGCTCTCTGAGGAGCAGCACGCACACAGGGATGAAACAGGGGAGATGAGCTCGAATCTGAATCCAGAGCTCACAGGAACGCTCACCCCCATCCACAGCACTGCTTTCATCTATGTGTGCGAAGTAGACCATTACCAGCAATTAGGAAACAGCACTGTTGCTGATATACCTCCATTTTTGTTTTTCACACTGCGTCATTTTCATATACTTTCCTGCTTAAAAAGAGGCTGGTCTCTGGAGAACAGTTGGTTGCGTTTGTCAGTTCAGATCCATGGGTTCATGCAGATGTGTGGATGTGACTCCAGCTGAGTTTTAATCACCTGTGTGGCTCTAGCCGATTCATTTGCTTCTGATTTCAGCGTGCTGATGCAGTTGTGAGCCATTTTTAACCGCGGAGGGTAAGCTTCCCTCAGGACGTGCGTTGTGCAACAGTGTCTTTAGGGATAATGAGCAACCAACCGAGCCTTAATTTTGACACCTGCCTGCCTACATGTATTTCATTGTCTCAAGAGTTAAAATAGATGCAGCATTCCTCTGCTGCTCGAGAACAGCCGAACAATAGATATAATTAGATTTCATATAATCCTTTATATGAAAAATGGTATTCAGTTCATAACATATCATATTTTTTGAGTGGTTGATGGCACATGATTACTTCATCATAAAAGTAAGGGGTACTACTGTTCAATCAGGTGGTCATTATGGCAAAATAAACCCTAACCGGATGACCAGGATGGTCTCAGACTAAATGGGATTATTTTGTGATAATAACTGTACATTATTCTACTTATGGCTACATACTTGCATAAATAAATAGATAAATAATAACTATATCATATATTTATTTATTTGAAGAATTCAGATGCAAAAAGTCTGTCTGAGATTTTTACTCTTAAATGAGCATTTTTAACAGGCTCCTATGTTTAGGTTCAGTAATTTCACTTTAATTGCAAAGAGAAGGTTATTAGTCAGTTATTGAATCCCTTATTTTCAAAAAAGTCCAATGTTATTTTCATAGAAGCCTCAAAATGCTAATTTAAAAGAAAATCCCAGACAGACTTAGAGGTTTTTGCATCTGAAGTCTTCATTCATTCATTCATTCATTCATTCATTCAGTCAGTAAATATACAGATAAAATATTATTATGAAATTTAAATAATATATTATTCAAAATATTAATATTTGACTTGTAGATTGATATTTAAAAATATTAGTAAATATAAATAATAAACATTTTTTAAAATATTAATACATTACTTGTAGATTAACTTAAAGCTTTTGCAATGCAAACCAATTTATAATATCACAATATTAATCTATTATTAATAATCTGCAATTAAAAGTTCCTTTTCTATGGATTAATTAGCTAAATATTTATCACAGTGTTAGTGTAATTTTTTTTGTCTCATACTGCTTTCATCTTTTTCCAAGCAGTGTTTTCTTGCTTTAACTGGGCAATCCTTCGTCATCTAAAAGGTTTATGCTTACCATAAATTTAGTACTGAAGTCCATTTATGCTTACAGGAAGTCACAAAATGCTGCAATTACAGGGCTTAAAGCATTTGTCTTGGAGTGAGACTGTAGAGTGAGATGTGAAAGAGGCATTGAACAAGCTGCTATGGATAATCATGAATTGAACAATTTATTGTTAAACAAAACCATTTGTATAATGCTCCATGTCCTGATTGACCAATCAGAATCAAATTGTCCAGAGACCTTTGTAATACAGAACAAACATAAACCACCATCACGCAAAATAATCTCTTATATACAACATTAAAGTTACTAATAGCAAAAACAGTATACAAAGAAACCCTTCCGACAACATGTAAGAAACCTGCTGACAGATTTTGTACATTTTAATTGGTAGCATGAGGAGCAGGGCAGAAAGGTCTTGCACAAGCAAAGAGGCATCAGTGTAGTCGTGATGTTGAAGAACTGCGTTTTGATGCTGGATGAAAATGTTGAAGAATCATTTGCATGTGAATAGACCGTGTTTCTGCTAATGCAATTCAATTAGATGCAACGTATGAATGCTATTAGCATAGGCATTTGAGCTTTTCCTGTAGTGAAGAGCCCTTCATAATGTAAGAATATAACACATTTTTAAAGGCAAGAATTAGTATTTCTTATATGACGCTTTAAGGATTTCAAGAAACCCGTAATACTAATTATACATTTAGGTATACATCCCACACTGTTTGTACTATGGACAAGAATGATACTTCAAATCATGCAGCTTGCTGAGAGGAGGTGTTATTATTGATGATAAAATAAATGAAATAAACCTATAGACTTACAATTATAGAGGGACCTGAACCATCTTTGGACGGGCACCGTAACGCTATGGTGAACCGCAACCACAAGATAAAGACTATGATATGGTGATGGCAAACTTTAAGCTATTCTTTCTATTGCTTCAGGATCTACTGCTTTATTGATGGTTTCCTGCTGGTCTATGGGAGTTTCAGATGGACCAGTATCAACCTCTTCTACTCTAGCCTTTTATCTCACTCCACTCACTTCATCCTCCAATGCAGTATTGCCAATGTCCCCTTGTTTACAGAAAGACAGCAAATCTGACTGTTGTTCTTTTAAATCATATTTTATTGAGGCCTTATTACAGCCCATCTTTACAGTAAGACAGGATACTTGAGTGTGGATTTGTTTGTTTTGTTCTTGTTCTTGTGCTATGGATAAAGTAAATTCATAGTACACTTTCAGTGATCATTTCTTTAACAAATAATTTTTTCTTCGCGTGAAGAACATTTTACAAATCTGAAGAACCTTTTGAAGAACCTTTCTGTGGAATGGAAAGGTTCCATGGATGTTAAGGATTCGTCATGGAACCATTGATGCCAGTAAAGAACTTTAATTTTTAAGAGTGAAGTCTCAGCTGTAGGAATTCTCTGTAGAGGTACTTTGCATAGAGTAACACTCACCAAATCGTAGTTTAGCTGAAAAGGTTTGAGTGATGTTAAACGAGAAGCTCTATCCAGGTCACGGCACCAAAACTGTTGGAAACTCTTCAGCAGGATTCTTTATTGAGAACCTGCTGTTTCAGGCCCTGATACATTTGAAGCGAAATCTATGAATGAACAGTACTGGTGGGATGTCATTTCAAACAAAATCAGGCCAAAAAGAAGTTTGTTTCAGGAGTTCGAAACGTTTCAGAAAAGTTTGTTCCAGCTGGTAAACACATTTGAAATACCATTGGTCCATGGCTACTTTGCAGTAGAAATGAAGTCGTAATTCTCATTGAAAGTGACACTGACAGTTTTTTCATGTTTAAAGGGGTCATATGATGCGATTTCTATTTTTCCTTTTCTTGTGTGTTACAGTATGTAGCTATTTGTGCATGTATAAGATATGCAGAGTTACAAAACTCAAAGTCTCCCACAAAAGGATTTATTCTATCTAAAAGAGAAGGCTGATCCAGACCGGGCTAATCGCGTCGTGTGCATGTGTGTGTGTGCGTGAGAAAGAGACAGGGTCACATCACAGTGGAGTCAGCTTTCTTAATCGCGGCTTGTGTACTGCAAATACATACGAGCATCATCACTGTGTCTGACTCTGTTCCCCTTTCGTGCTTGAAATATGGTAAAACTAAGGGCA